CCCTTGGACGGGTCGAAGCGGGCAACCTGAACAATGTACTTGCGGGCAGGCCACTCGAGCTCTGTCATGCGCTGGTTGCGGCAGGCATTGTTATAGATGTGGCCGTAGTAGCCAGTATCCCATTTATTGAGAGGTTTGTTCAGACCATCAAGCCAATCAGTGGTGGCTGGGAAGTAGACAACCTTCTCCCGCGGTACGTTGTGCGGGACGAAGATGGGAATCGGATGGCTGATGAACATGTCGGCATACTGGATGTTGCTCCACAAGAAGTTCCAGATGTCCTCCTGAGGGGACCCGGCCTTGGAAGTCAGGTCGCTGCGGATCTGAATGTGGGATCGGTAGAGAACGGGTCGGTCTGGGGTAATCTTCTTGATAAGAGGAATCAAGCCGGGCATTTGCGGGTCATCAATCTGTGCGAGCACACCAGTCAGTCAAGGTTCAGACCCGAAGCTTCGGCGCCCTGTCAAGTCGCGGGGCAAACCCGAACGCAGAGCTCCTGTGGGGATGATCCCACTTCCAGTGCACCACGGAGGGGTAGCTCAGGGAGTGGGGGGGTATGGAATTGGAGATGGGCGCGGGGGAGGGGATGGTTTGGAGAACTCACCATGACAACGTCGGCACCGCCCTCTTCAGGAGGACGCAGGGGACCGCCCTCGGACAGCCAGTAGCGGTTGGCGTTGTCCGTGATCCAGTCAATGATGGACTGCTTCTCTTCGTCTGAGATGCGCTGATCAGGATGGCTGACACCTTGGAGGATGTTGTGAATGTTCTTGGTGACCCTGAACACGCCAGGCCTCGGCTTGGGGACTGGGTATGATGTCAGTTTCATACGATTTTTGACAGCTCAACCGACTTGTCTCAAGGCGGAAAAACGTACCATACCAAGTCAGGTCGACGCCAATGAGACGCGCAAACCGGACGAGAGCGTGCCGCATCAAGGCCACGCCACCTCCCTGGGGAGTGCTGCTGAAGAAAGCAACCTTGATCTTGTTCTCGCGAAGCTTCTTGGCATAGTGCATGGTGGCATCCCATGTTGCCGACCCGCACGTGTCCTTGTGGTTTTGAATGGTGTTGAGCTGGACGCGGAAGCCCGCATCAGTCTGGACGATACCCCGGAAGCCGACCTGGAGAAGAGGGACGAGAGAAGGGCCAAAGTTCCTGGGGGTGGGCTGTCAGTGACGGGATCCACTGGATGTGCGACCGGGGTAGATGCAGGATGGGCGACTTACATGATGCACTTGCGGGCCATGGAATCAGCCTGCTCATCGACTCGCTTGATGTCCCAGAAGCTCTGCTCCTTGTGTTCGTCGTCGGGGCGGAGGACAACGGGGACAATGTCAAGGTCGAGCCAGAGGCGGGAGCATAGGGTAGGGCTCATGTACTTGAGAGTGGTGGGGAGACCTGCACCGATGAACTTGGAGAAGTTCTCGTGCTCATAGCCCTCGAGGGTGTTGATCACGTAGTCTGCAATGGCATCGTTGCCCGTCTGTGTCTGGTCATCGAGATTGATATGCTTGACGGTGAAGTCAATGAGGTAGACGGTATCGTGGATGGCAAGAGCGACGACGGCCGTGTGAGAGTCTGAGAAGACGGCCGAGATACCACAGTAGAGGGTCTATATCTGTGAGTGATATGGAAAAGAACTTGATTGTGGGATTCTTACTGTCAAAGCTGGACCAAAGGCATTGCCCTGCTCGTGCATGGTGCTCATCTGCCTCTTGCGGTGGGCCGAGGTGCCCAGCGAGAACTGGCGACCCGGCTGCTTGTGGTCGGTTGGCATGATTGCGACGGTCGTATTGCTCTGTGTGTATTCAAATGAGGCCAATTGAGTGGTGAAGAGGTGAGTATATCAGCAGTGGCGTCTCTGAAAGCCTTTCGTAGAGCTGATAGCAGTGGTGATGGAGGAAGAATGGAAGCAAGCTGGAGACCTAGAAGAGGAGCAAGCTGGGTTTTGTGTCCCAAACTGCCCTGGCTGCCGAGTCAAGGACGACGGGAGTAGGGGACACAGGGGGCACAGGGGAGCAGGCAGGCTAATACGGACGCCGGTGTGAGGTCAGGAACACGCGAGGCCGCAAAGGAGGCGAGTGGCTGGCTGCCTCAGGAAGTGACGATGGGTGGTAGGGAACGGGAAACCACCACGAGTCGATCCTGCCGTGCCTGATTACTGGACAGGCAGGAACCATAGCAGAAGAAAGTACCAGGCCGCAAAAACGATTGTAGGGGAGGAGCTCCTTGCCCGGCCGGTGGTGTAGCTACTACCGGGCGAGATACGTACCGGGGTAGCGCCACGGACGGGTACCGGTAAAAGAGGGGCCGGCCGTGAACGGCGGGTGGGCGGGGCACCGTGACATGGAAGCCCCCCACTTCAGCTTTTACAACTGAACATCGGGCAAGGTCACACTGAGGTCAGACTACTTTCTACCAACGACCCTTGGTCAATTCCTTGAGATGGAAAATGAAACGAGTAGATAACACGGGCAGGCGAGAAAGACTAGAGCAATGGAGGAAAGTCCATCCATCCTGCAATCATGCCGTTGGGCTCTAAGCCGGAAGCCACGGTTGCACAGCGTGGTCCCTGGCCTAACGGTTCCCCAAACTACAGCCGTTAATGCATCGTTCAGATACCCAGCTCCTTCCATATGTGCCAGGCTAAACATGGCTTCGAAGGAGCTCTCGTTGGGGAACTTCAAACCGTTTCTCCGCCCTTCTCAGCTCTACTGTGAGACATGAAAGCTGCATTTCCCCTCTCTTCCCCTCCATTAGATGCGTCGGTGTCACCACCTGCAACGGCCCCGCCAGCTTGCCTTAGTGTCCCGCCACAGCGTAGCTTACCGTTCACTGTGCATCTGGGTGTTTTCCATTCTGCCTCATGCCAAATCCTTCTCCGTCTGTCGTGAGCTTCAACTTCAGCCACGAACACCTTGAATTTCTCAAGCATCATGTCCTACCAAGCAATCATACTCAATTCCAAATCTCCCCGCTTGTCTCACGACCCTGTGTTCAACATGCGGTGTATCGGATACCCGACCTTACATCCGACGCACCCCGTCGGACTCGTTCCCCCAATGTTATCAGTATCCCAATATTGTCACCATGCCCGTCAGAGCACCACGCTTGCTTTCTTTCAACATAAGTGGCCTCGGTCACCCACAATGGAATTGTCGGTGAGCATGCAGTCTCTTCTAGATGCAATGCTACTCGATCCTTACAGCCGTTGGGGATGGTGGGAACGTCCTGGCAGCAGTCCCTACTGGCCCGTCATTCATCGTCCACCCTCCACCTCGAGGATGCGACTCCATGAGAACCAGGCGGTCGGTGACTACTGCTCAGGTCCTTCATACCCATCTCAACCTGTGCCATGCTGAATCTTACCTGGACGGCGCAATGCGGCTGCCGGCAGCCCCCTCGAGCCCACCATCTCTTTTTCAGGCCAGATTGATGACCACCACACGAATATGTCAGGGCCTGCGTGGCGGCACCGGCATCGAATGCTCCTCGAGAATACGATATCACAAAATACGACAAGCAGCATCATGAACTCGGCTCCGCGCCTGACCTGCAGGCCGTCTGAGAGAGCTTCTTCCCGACCGGGAAGGTCAACTATCAGTCAAGACTGTCCCAAGTTCTCTGAACACACCGAGGTGGAGAATGAATTGACATGCATGTCATGTTAAGGTCAAACTGGAGCTATACCCCGGGTCTAGCTTTGGTACCTAGCCTCGCCAGCATCTATCTTGGTTCAAATCCCTCCGCGACGACACCAGCAGCTCTCGGGCTGCGGTGCAACGTGGTTCTCGGAAGCAGGCACTTCACTGTGGGGGCCCTGGGCTTCCAGGGCCATGCAGGGCAAACCCTTGCTTGCTTCTGTTGGTCGCTCATCAATCTGCAAACATGATTACACGCAAGCTGCTGGGCATCTCGAGTGGCTGATCAACTGACATTAGCCCACTCGCCTAGTTGTCTCCCGCCTCTTAAATGAAGGATAGTTTCTCATGCCCACTTCCACCCTCCAGGCTCCTGAGCAGCTTCTTTCTCTCCATCCCCAATTCTACCCCAATCTGTGGATTCGTGCTACGGCTAACAGTGGACTTTGCAGTAAGAACCCTGCTGTAAGATTCGAACACAATCAACCCCGCAATGCCGCCACGACTCCTGGTGATGAACCACTGTGCCACTGCGGCCTTCTGGCGACCAGGTACACCTGTGGCAAACGCCGCGATGAGAGGCCCAGTAATATGAGCATCACCAATCAGCGATGGAACCATGCCTGACAGAGAATTCGGAAGAGTCGCTCGGAAAGCCGCAAGCACCGGGGCGCTTTGAAAAGAGTAAATGCCACTATCAGCGCGGGACCTTTGGTCACAGCATCATACGATGCCCGTGCATCAACACGACTGGTCACCTTTCTGCATGACCTTCCCCGGTTTTCTCAGATCATTTCGTACAACCGTATAATTCTTGGCTTCGTTCATCGGCTCTTGCTTCTTTAGTCCCATTGGCTCGTTAGGCTACTGGCGTTTTCCAAACCGTCTCGCCGCGGTGTGGCGCATGCTGGTTGAAATGCCATGGTGCGTCGTCTGTGGGATTGAGTTTTCGGCGTTACGAACATAGATGGTCTCTCCATCAGGACAACGCAGCCCGCACCTTTTCATCTCACCCGGAAGAACAATGAGGCACAATATTGAAGACTTGCACTGAGAAGAAGAAGAAACGAAATTCAGAGTGCTCTCATACATGAAAAGTTTATCTTCTGGCTGAACTTAGTCGAGGAACAGGTATATAAGGCGTATATAACGCAAGACCATAGACTCGACTTTGGGACTCACCTTCATCCACCGCCAAATCGTTCCTCGACACGACCGACGTCCTAAACCTTCACACGCATTCATCAAAGTCGGCATGATGAATTCGCTCCAACATGCCGTCATTCCAGACGGCAACCAGCGACTCGCTCCTGCAAGACCCTTTTCACGCCCTTGCCTTCGGAAGTTCTTTTCGAAATGATCGATGCGATATTTAAATGCAACGGTCCCCTGTCATGGAAGGATGTCCTGGCATTCGTGACGTCGACACCGGAGATACAGCTCGTCTTTCGCGAATACCGAACTATGTTCCTCCGCCGTCATCTCTCGGGAACACCCAAAAACCTCGGTAGTCCGTCCGACTTCGTCGCGCGCTACACAGATGGACGCGACACATCTCAATACTCCAAGATTCACGGGAGATGGTTTTGGAACATTTGCAAACCGTTGTCACAAGTTTATGCTCTTGTGGATCTCCCTGGAGATATCAGAACGCGTCTGGGATTGGAAGATTGGCACTGCAGTCCCAGGAACAAAAACGAGTTTGTCGCGTTATTTTCCACTACGCCCTCGTGGAACCCGAAGGCGCTCATTGACTACGACCACCATGCCGCCTTGTGGCGAAAACGTCCAGCCCCCTCCAGAAAGAATGCCGACGAAATTTCGTTTCTCAGGAGACTCACAATGCCAGAGCTCGAAGCACTGGAAGATGTTTGGCACTGGCTTGGGTTCTTCTACGTCCGCATCATAGTAGACGAGGGCTTACATCATTTAGCAAGAGGCCAAGACGGAACCTACACCGCTAGAGCTGAGAACTTCTATTTTGCCATTCACTGGCTGTGTGAGCGGGGACTAGAGCTGTTGTGCAGGGTCATCGGCGCCCCGCCTGAGGGCCGGAGGGAGGTTTTGCGAGACGCCATAAACGTGGCCTACCAGATAAGATACGACCGGGGCTACCCATTCTATCGAAAGTTCGTTTTGAATGAAGGAATATGGTCAGAGATATTTCATCGAATGCGTTTTACGGCAGGTGCAGGCGCTGAGGAGGAGTTGAAGAAACACAAAAGATACCTTGAGCTTTGGCATCGGCAATGGAGCGCTGCTTGCGAGCCGGGCGAGCTGCGCCGTCATCTGACTATCGCTCAGGCGCAAATGTTGCTTGTAAACCATGGTGTAAGTGCAGACGAGCTTACTGATGCTGAGCTGAGTGCGTTCCTGCTCAACCCGGCTCCGGCTGCGGCCAGGAGACAAAGGTCCATTGGCACTTACGCCAGTCATAACGCGACAGCGGGAGAGGAGTCCTGAATACATTCAAATGTGTTACCGACCACTAGTTCCATGGGTAAGGTATAAGAACATCTCTGTCCATGCGCTGTATCATCGATGGCGAGCCTCTCTTGTCTGTAGTCCTTGCCGTCAGGCTGCCATATCTTCTCCAGAACCCCCCGCCTGCACTTGATGTGCCTCGGCAGGACGTGCGAGATCTCACGGCCATCTTAGTTGCCGCCGGCGGTCCGGATCCGACACGGACGGCCCCACCTGTGCGGAGCTGCAGCTGGGCCCCAGGCGCCGAAGCAACGGGGCTTACTCGGATTGCATAGTATGTAAAACAATGAGAGCAGAACAAATAGAACTTCACAGTTTCTGGAGAGCGAATCGAGGTCTTGTTACAAGTCCCATGGAGAAGCGATCTCAAGCTCCGCTTGACCACGGTGGTCGAAAGCCTGGGTGGCATAAGTGACAAAACGTTTGGCCGTGGACTTATCCATGTAGCCAAATATTTGAGAGTGAGCTTCATAATCAAGTACGGCAAGTGAACCGATTCAATTGCAGAGACGGCCTGCATCTCGATTTCTCAGCAGTGCATCTGACCTCGCTACAGATGCCGGGTTAGGTCTCCTGCAGCGGGATCGCAGCATCCGATGCCTGGGATGCCGACACAATACTCACTACCGACTTCTCGGGTCCAGATCCATCTTCATCGCTCACAATTCGCATTTGATAAATTCCCAGCTATTAATGCTGCGGTCAATAGTAACTAATCCACACATTCAGATGTACCTGACGGCTTACAATCCCACCCAAGTCAAGACCAAGAGCGCCCGGGCGTCATCCCATGCTACCTCGACACCCCTGCCACAGCCAGGGTCCCGTCCCATCTGCCGCGGATGGACAATGAAATACCGACGTCTTCCCACTTCCCACATCACCGACGTCAACCGGCTTCACACCGCCGCGATCCTCATCTCCGTCGCCCGCCACGGCCGCCACGGCGCGCGCAACTACTTATGCCCACGCGCAAGATCCGACCTTCACAATGGCGGCGCACCAGCACACCGCATCTGCCCCCGCATCCCCCGCACCCTCAAACTCAACCCATCAAACCCCCACAACCTTCGGCGATGAGACGATCGACGCATTCGAGATGGACGCCGACGACGGCTACGCCTCCGCGTCGCCGGCGCCGTCCCTCCACGCCGGGACGATGTCGCTTTCGCCGTCCGTTCGCGACTACGCCTTTGAGAATAACCGGCGCTACCACCGATACCGCGAGGGGCGGTACCATTTTCCGAATGACGATAGTGAGCAGCAGAGGGAGTTTATGAAGCATCTGGTGATGGTGCACATGATGAGCGGCAAGTTGCATGAGGCGCCTGTGAGGAATCCGCAGAAGGTGTTGGATGTTGGGACTGGGACGGGGGTATGGGCTATTGATGGTGCGTTGGTGTTGTTTCCCTTGCGTTCGGCATGGAGTGAAGACCTGAACCAGAGAGTGAGCTGACGGTGGATAGTGGGCGATGAGTACCCCGAAGCAGCAGTCACGGGCATCGATCTATCACCAATATGGCCAGATTGGGTCCCCCCGAATGTCAAGTTCGTAGTTGACGACGCCGAGGCAGAGTGGTTCCACGAGCCCGACTCATTTGACTTCATCCGGCTGGGAAACATGGCGCCTTCAATACAAGAATGGCCGAAACTTCTGGAGTCAGCGTACAAGTAACCGTCTCCCACGTCTCACTCATCACACGCGGGTTCGTCAGCTGACGCACGCTCTAGAACGCTCAAACCAGGAGGCTGGATCGAGCTACAGGAAATGCGCTGGGTCTACGGCTGCGACGACGGGACTATGCCGGACGACTTTGCGCCCATGAAGATGGTGGACCTCATCAGCCAGGGTCTGGCGCGGTTCGGGGTCGACATGCACGCTGCGGAACGCAACCCGGCGCGTCTTGCGGCTGCGGGGTTCACTAACATCAGACACCAAATGCGTAAGGTGCCTGTGGGCGGGTGGACGAGGAGCAAGTCTCTGAGAACGGTGGGGTTGTATAATCTGAGCGTCATTTACGACGGACTACATGCTGTGACTATTGGGCCCCTGACGAGGGGGTTAGGGTGGACGGCGGATGAGGTTGAGAAGTTACTGGGGAGGGTGAGGACGGAATTGGTCGATCCGGGGGTTCATTCGTATGTGTATTTTCATGCGCTTACTGGTCAAAAACCATTATCATGACGAGTTGCTGTGTGAGTGTGACTGTTGTTGGGATAGCATGCGGGCTTATTTCGAATTTTTCAAACCATCAAGCAAAGATTACGGAGTGTGGTAGATACTACAAGTTGAAGGTATGGTAGGCTCAAATTCCGCATCTTCATAATTCGAAAGTTCAAACGAGATGAACAAAGAGCCCGGATTGATTTCTTTACCTCCCAGGTAACTACATAACAGGCCCCCCATCTTCCCGTGCCGGAGCGCCTCCTTTTCCCATTTGCTCTCTGTCATTGCTGCTGTTGTAGTGGTTGTTATCATTGCTATTCTCGTCGTTGTCGTCGTCGTCGTTCCGCATCGTCGTCCTCTGTTATCCTCTTCGTCGTCTATTGTCGTTCCAGTCCCTGTCGAAACAACAGACGATAGGCGAACAATAAGAAGAATGAGGGAATGATGCGACACGCGATAATGATTAATGCTTGGCTTCTGAGCCAGTCGCTTTGTTTCTCAGTAAGTTCATAACGGTCTGCTAAACCTTTGTGGCGCACAGCATGGGGCATTTTCCAACCTGGTTGGATCCAACGTGACTTTCGTAACCCAGTTTGCACTTGCCTAGCAGACATAGTGAAGGCCTTGCCCATCTTCCCATGCCTCTGCCTAAAAGATCCGACTTCAATCTTAGGAGCTGGTGCAATGCTTCTAAGGCGCCATTCTCAACCCCCGAACACTAGTTCAAATGTTTAGGCGGAAGGGAGTCTCCACTAGACGTTAACAAGCCACCCCACACAAGACGTTCTCGACGCAGGAACTCCGCAATTCTCATGACCTATCCCTACGAATGTCACAGAGTCTGAGAGTCCATAATGACGCAAGTTTTACACGGCCAGATGGAATTGGCAAGAAGTCCATGCCATCCGTACCTGTCGTTAAGGATGCGGCTGCCCCAAAACGTGCAAATTTGCCAAATACAGCAAAACTCTATTGGTTTTGGTGAAGGCACCTGTATAAAAAGCGGCTTCATATGACGCATAGCCCCACAGACTCTCATTGCACCTAGGATGGGCTTCGAAAGTAATCTATGAGCTTGGTTCAGAGTAGGGGCTCGAGGGATACCTGTAAGTTCGGGCCATAAATTTGCCTACACCAGACGCATTTGAACGTTTCAACCTACATTCTTTTGTGAACACTTCTCCTGCGGCATATTTCTTTAAGATTTATTCTCTTCTTGTCGAGAATTCTGCAATGATCCTCTTCCATCAAAAGATACGGGCCCATCCATGGCAGGCTTCAAGGCCTCCGCCAGTTCCTGTGGCGCGAACAAGAGATGTCTCGGAAAAGACGTGCATACAGATTCCGGAAGGCTTCTTTCGAACGACAAAATCTTCAATTCACATGCAGGTGAAATTTTTGAGACCCTTCCTTCGACTCGGCTACAAGCTTCGGCCAAAGTCAGGCAACGCGCCAAGAATTGTCAACGGCTATTTGCTTTCTGGATTCGCCATTATCGAAGTTATTCCAACCGAAATCATTTCAATAATATCGAGTTTTCTAGCCCTTGAAGAAAGCGTAGCACTCGCTTTAGCGAGCAAAATGATGCTCTCAAAGGTCGGCTATCCAAGCTTCGTCGAGTTGAACCGCTGCGCTGTATCGAGGTTCAAGTTACTTCTTCAACTAGAGAAGGAGATTTACGACATGAAGGAGATCCTATGCAGCAGATGCCAGGTATTCCACCCGCCAATATCTTCAACCCTAAGAAAAGGGAATGGTAGCAACCGACCATGCGCAAAGCGATCGCCAAGCCAACGAGACAGGATTGCATCGTCTCCATACTTGCCGACCAAGCTACATTTCAATATGGTCAAAGCTGTTATGAGATCGTATAGGTACGGTCTAAACCTGTATGACCCAAGAGTGCTAGCATCAAACAGTCTCTGGATTGATGAAACGACAAATGCGAAAGTTCGGTATACGGCAACTTCCGTTATAGCTGATAATCAGCTTTTACTCCGGACGGTGATGACGTTGTTGTCATCTCCAATCAGAGGACAGGCTAGGAGTGCAGCCCCAAATCTTTTGAAACTGATCGAGAAAAGGCAGAGGCTGTGTAATGTATGTCCACACATCAAGTGGTCTCGAGTATACCCAAACATCTTCCAAGATAGGCCGCCCAGGCCACACCGTCTCGAAGATGAATATCCAGATGTATGGAGCTCGAAAACCAAGCCATTTCCAAACCGTGGGTTTTTTTATACCTGCAAGTATTGCTCGACACTCTTTCATTTCAGCTACAGAAACCTAGCAATCAGTGGTGCCCGCGTTGTATCACTCGTGTCCTACAAGTTCCTTGGGAAAGGGGAGGACCTGAACGACCGCGTGTGGATGCGTCACACCCAGGAAGCAACTGAAGAGGCTAAGAAAACGATGAGAATCTCTATTTGGCGGCTATATCCGGTAGATGCTTGGCATCGAGAAAAAGTAAAGTTGCCGGAATATGGCGGAAGAGGTTATGCTCTGGACCCATTTTGTTTCGAAGGTTTAGATACTGTTGCTTCTTAATCAGAACAGTCAATAGAGCTTTCCTCAATCCTACAACTTAGTAGCTTTCAGGTGGTTAGTTCCATGATGTCTACCGAAAAACATGAGTAGCTAAGTACCACTCAACGACTGCCTACTGTTCTTGTGTATTCTCATCGAACAAGATCAAACGCTAAATTCTGAGTAACGGCCCTATCTTGCAATTTTGCATTCAATTGACGATCGACTTTATGACCCCGTCCGAAACAAGTGTCATGAACGATGTTGTCCTTATGCAAGGGAAGATTAGAGCTCCCCGTAAACAATTCTAGGAGGGGAGCAGTAGCTGAAGATATGTATGGTGCCATGTCGGGGGCCTAATATCTGATTATCTGCATCAGAGAGATGGCCGATGGTCGATAGGCGAATCCCGGATAAGGAGACTCTGGGGTAAAGGACAAACCTCCAACTACACACATGTCATGACATCTCATTTAATATTTGAAATTCATTACTGAGGTTGAGCAGACTCTCGTGGCTCGGGGCTAAAGAAAATGGTGCAGCATATCGCAAGTCAGAATCGCAACGACAGTTGTAAAATAGAAACCACCAAACTGTCAAGATCTTGGATGTAAGAGAAAATACAGGGGTAGCAATAGGACTAGATCAACGAGGTGTTCTTTTGTCAATCTATCAGAAATTTTCACAAGATTAACCAGATTCCCATGTCAAGTTCAAACAGTACGTCTATGGCATTCCACCGGCAAAGCTTCGACCCGGCGGCTTCTCTCTCGCCGCTTAATCAGCAACTAGGAGGGCAGATGAAGCATTCAAAAGGTTTCACGTATGCACAAGTCCACGAAACGAGTCACGGCAGAGCATGACTAATGAGACCCCTATTTTGCGACGTGCTGGACCACATCGCATGCGCCTGGTACGAGGCAAGTCATACATGCCAGGATGGGGATCGCCGGCTGAGCTTTGGGCCATTTCTTTCAAAAGTACACGAGTTTTGCGCCTTGGCTTGGTAGGAATGACTAGACGAAGGTCAGATGAGATCGTCTTGCACGGAATTCGGGCGCCTGAGACAGAACTAGCCCATAATTCGCCTTCTCAAAGACTATCATGATGATGGGGAAGCGCTGCGTGACGCCTGAGCCTTTCGTAAGGAAACGTTCAAAGCACTCGAAGAAGGCAGCGCTGGGCCAGCTTCTCATATCTGCCGATGATGCTTTTGTAGCGAAGAACACATGCCTCAGATTCAGATTCAAAGTCTCACCATAGATCGGCAGTCGATCCGACCGGTGGGATAATCACTGAGAAGGACTTTTGGCACAAGACAAACCTCAACTACGCAGATGTCATTACCAGAAGGACGGGTCGTTCTAGATAAACTCTCTACAGGATACTGGGTCTTACCTGAAATGAGTTGCCAAGAGCTAAGAACGAATCTACTATAACTGGGAGTTGCCGTTGGCTTCTTGCGTTTTGCCGAATCTTGCCTCAGGGAATGACCGAAAATATTTCCGTAGATATCCCAGTTCCCCCGCCAAGCCTCGGTCTCGCGACCTCGCATTAGCCCCTTTCTATCAATGACTAAATTTGCCTTGATACGGCAAGTTTGTCATAGCTTCCAAAGTCTAAGTCTACTCTCTCTGATGGAACATTCTTCGAATTGTTCTAGAAAAATTCCAAGACAACGGTGGTGCCATTGGTTCGGCACATGGCAAAGTAGCTTTTCACCACGAGGACTGCAAACGGCAGTTCCATCCCGATTTGAAGCTTCTACAGTGGGAATATTTTGGTAACCGGTGAATCAGATTTCACCCTTGGTCTGCCCGGGCTGAATCAAGCAACCTCAAAACTTCGGGAAACATGGCCGCGAGTACGCAATATGGGTTGCGTTGCAACCCCGCATTCAACCCCCATCGTCCGGCCGCCTCGGTTTGACTTTCCCCTCGCGACGAGTCAGAGTCGATACTTCAGACCACAAATGTACGCAGTCGGAGTCTGATCCGGCACATGCCAACTCGACCCTCTAGAACGGTCTTTGATCAGCGCAGACCACCCATCCGAAAGAGCTCCTGCAACGGAATGAGTCGCGGACAGGCCACCTAACTACCCAACTGAGATATCAGGCTCGAACGCTCTCTGGGGAAGGGCATCTTCGCAGACTAGCTCTTGGGGTCCTGACTTATGGTCAACAAAATTCGCTTATTAGACCACGCCAAAGTAATCTTCCATCTGCGCCTGAAACCCATGGTTGCGGTGCTTATTGCCAGTCTCAAAACCCATCATTGCCATGACAATAGCCGATCTCCATCATCCCTTGTCATTTCTACAGATCCTGTCTTTCCCACGCGGAGCCCTCCAAGCGAAGTGCCTTGCCACGATCCGGGCGTCGCCCCCGCTCAGAAAGCTTGTCCCGAAGACGGCCGAATCCCCCGTGATTAGCGTTTTAAGTTGTCTTTAAGGTTTATTATTGCTAGCTGAACTCTTAATGGCTGGTCGCTCATATCTCCCAGAGCAAGGTCCAGCTAGGGCCTTCCTCCAGCTCGTTCCAGGTTGTCTAAATAAATGCGACGCCCACACCTTCACACTGCTGTCAACACATTATCTACAATCCGACTCCGACCGCGAAGCTCGATTTCTCGACCGAACCTGGTGGCTCGACAGCAAAATCCCAACTAACTCACATTCGCTTTTGCTAGCATGCCTTGCTCCGTCATACCTCCTCGACCCCTACGAGTTCCAGTCACGCCCATACCCGATGCGCAATGTCTAGCCAAGTGGGGGCGGCCCCCCCGCCGGAAGGCGTAGTGCCCAATTTCGAAAACCCAACGGATGTCTTGCACACCATCAATCTCGTGTCACAGATACTGTCTATCATATCTGTCAGCCTTTTTATGATGATTCGCTGCTATGTGAAATGGGCCTTGACACCGCCATTTCAGATTGATGACTGCAAGTAGACCCTCGCCCTTCTTGAGTATTGGCCGGAGCTGACACGTTCCAGGGATGGCCCTCGTGGCGTGGGTATGAAGCTCCCTATCACACATGTCTGAAGACACATCACCTGATTTTGAACAGGTTCTATCCATCGCCTACAGTGCCACAGCACTCGTGAGTGAGTATTGCCAGATGGGCAACACCAAGTATCTCACTGACAAGACAACAGTGCAACACTTTGGTGGAGGATATCACGTTTACGAAATCTCAAAGGAGAGCCTCGTCGGATTCAAGAAGGTAATTGCGAACCGATCCCACTCAGGTCTGGTCGTAGTAGCTGAACTCCTCTCTGGGGCTTTACGCCGACACCCTCGTATACGGCCCAAACTCCTTCTTCACCAAGCTTACCCTACTTCTCATCGTCACGAGGGTTTTCAGAACCTATAAGAAGACAGTGATAGCTACCTACGCCGTCATCGTCTTCATGGTTGGATACTACGCGCCTGTCCTTGTAATAAAGACACTCATCTGCCGTCCCATCGCCGGCTTCTGGGATCCGGACCTACCGGCGGACTGCTTCAATCAGCGTGCCGTATTCGTCGCGGACACTGCCGTCAGCGCCGTGACCGACCTCGCAGTCTTGACCATCCCGATACCCGTAGCCGTAACGCTCAGAATGTCCTGGTCGAAGAGACTGAAGGTACTCGCCATGCTTAGTGCGGGAGGGTTAGCCACGGCGGCGAGCATTGTCCGCATGATTCTTGTGGTACAGCTGCAGAAGTCGAACGATGAGCCGGTGGATTTCATCCGTTTCAATCTTCTCGGGTTGGTCACCCTCAACCCTAGCTCGGATTACTATGGAGATCCAGCTAACCGTAACATCAGAACAGCCGAAGTAAGCATCGGCATGATCTGCGCGTGCCTTCCAGCTGTCAACATTCTGGTAATGCGCAGGTGCGACTTCACACCGAACTCAAGCCGGGCTACGAGAAACTTCTTTGCGCCCATTGAGTTGAAGTTTTTGAAGGGAAGCAAGCTTCAAACGCAGCACCTGACAGGCGTCTTGAGGACGAGTGAGCTGGGCATGGAGTCTTCGTCGGTCAACCCCTCCGAGCAGGTTTCACAGGGAACACAGGTAATGCATGAGCCGAGAGACTTTATCTTTCCGTTTGAGAGGCTGAGCCGGATTGGATCGGTACCACTGCGAAACCCAGAGTCGGGGAGACCAGATAGTTGGTATACAAAGGTTACTTCGCCGACATTTTCGGGTCCTTCATCACCAGAATGGGCTCGGAAAGGTGCTGATGAGGGGATACGGCACTTAGAATCGGGTGATAGACGGGATACTTAGCATAGCATCATGATACCGGACGACGAGCTTAATGAAATACCCTACTTGATTGCAGCATAGTTTTCGGTCAAGTCGATGCAGGAATCGATTGATGATCTCTTATACAAAATGCTAACGTCGCCAACTCAACTCCAAGCTAAGCCGTCACAAGCAAATCACTGTAGACTGCTCGTTCCAGCTCGTCGAACAACTTGACGAAGATTGGATCACCAAACGGCATGAGCTGTACGACCAGTACCGCTGCGATACCCGACTCCCTGTCCATCCACCAATGGCTATTGCACATGCCGCTCCACGCCATGCTGCCTTTCTTGCGCTTCCCTTCAGCATCTTCCATGTTGATGAATCCACTGAGGCCGTAGTTGAGCTTGAGTTCCGGGTCGAATTCAACCGCGGTCAACGACTTATTCGCAAATTCCCGTGAATCTTGCGCAATTTTCTCGTTTAGCTGCGGACGGAACATCTCATCCACTGTCTCCTTCTTCACAATCTGGTTCGTCAACAGCGCGTGGAGGAACTTGCTGTAGTCCTGCGCAGTGGTCAGGAGACCCGCGCCGCCGCTCTCAACCGGGTGTTCCTTGGCAAACATCTGCGGACCGGGGGCGATACTGGATCCATCCTCGCCTCGGTAAGACCATGTGGCGGTCCGGTCGGCGGTGTGGGGCAACTTCTCCGGCCAGAAGCCCGTGTCTTTCATGCCGAGCGGGGCGAATATGTTCTCCGACATGTACTCGCCGAGCGTTTTGCCGGTAATTTTCTCCAACGCTTGACCAGCCCAGTCAATCGCTGTTCCGTAGTAAAAGCTTTCGCCAGGCTTGAAGAGTAGAGGCGTATGGAAGCCATCCAAGCTCCAGTCCAGATTTGTCGCCTTGCGGCCCACAGCATTGTGCCATCTCATCAGGTCTGGCTCGATAACGTCGTAGCTCAACCCAACGGTGTGAGTGAGGAGCATTCTGTCACCTGTGTTAGTTCATCCTGCAAGATGTAGCAAGAGATGCTGCTGAGTACCTCAGAGTGATCGGTACGTCGTGATCTTCGAGAATAGGCTTCTCGTCTTCGGTGAAGCCTCTCAAGACGGGCATTTGCCCCAATCGCGGAACGAGTTCCCTCATATCGGCGTCGAGATCCACTAAGCCGCGTTCCACCAGCTGCATAATGCTAGTAGCGGTGATGATCTTCGTCAAAGACGCAACATGGGTAAATGTGTCGACACTCCACGCGCGAGACCCTGGGGCAGGGTCGATGCGACCCGCTGAACCATTGTAGAGAACGCCTGTATTCTGGGTCAGGAACGACATTTGAATTAAAAGCGGGTGGAAGGAATACCATCTTTGTTGACGACGATAAATGCAGCGCCAGGAACCTTTTCAGCGGCATCTTGATCGGGAGCGGGCGTGTTCCTCGCAAGGATTGCATCGAGAGAAGCGGCCATAATGAGTAGGCTGTAGAAGTCTGTATCGAGGAAGGAAGGGATGATGGTGTATTGATCACTATGCGACGGCACAATCTTATAAGTTTCTGATGGATATCGTAGAATTCGGGCGCGGAGGACACGGTGGCGGACACGGTGACAGGCCACGTTGCTCCGGGAGGTTGGTGAACGGGATGAAGTTGATTGACGGTCCGGGTGGAGAATGACGATTATGCCTGCCCGATTCAACTCCGGCGGCTGCCTGAAGATGCGGCACTTCGCTTATGCCAAGTGAGAAGAGAACCCCGCACCTGCTGTGAATTGTGTGATGTTCTATGTCTAGACGATTAGCAAGACAGAAGGGGCGCCCGCTAATTAGCTACTATTAGGTATCAATGTCAGCATCGGAATTGGCCCAATTGAACGCCACAGCAGTCCGAGAGGTGCACCTATTCAGGCAAGTTTACTCGTCGCGTCAGCGCAGTCCGAACACGCCAGTGTCTGTCCCAGAATTATTCACATGAACGTAGTGAGCAACCCTTGATCACCCAACTATTGCGTCCAGGTTGGTGTTTCTTAGTTGAATCATCACCGTGTGACAACCTTGGGATGACTAGAAAGAGGATGACTAGAAAGAGCACTTAAATTCTGTCGTCCTCGTCGTCCTCGTCGTCCTCGTCGTCCTCGTCGTCCTCGTCGTCCTTGTTATCCTTTCTATCCTCATCGTTATCATGGTCCTTACTGCTTTTGTCGCACTTCTTCTTCGGCCATTCGCATGGTTCTGTTATTTTGAATGTTGTTATCATCTTGGAAGTGGCTTTAGCATTGGTGTTCATTTGGAAATACTTGAAGCCCATCGTGAGAAGCATTTGCTTGAGTGGTTGTATTATTCATCGCATCATATCTACTTATTCATGTGAATTAGTCCACCCTAGTATACCTGCTATGAAAATGATCAAAGCTGCATCATCGCTCTTTTTATGTGTGGCCATCTTGTCACGATCATGCTCTGTTGCATGGAGCCGATAATCTTGCTAATTAACTAGACCTTCTTTTCCCTTCTCCGATATTCTATTCAGAATCATCAATACCAGTAACTTCGGGCAGAGCATGGCTCATGAGAAGTTGCAAATAAGCTGTCATTGAACCCCCGGGAATATCTCCGCTGAGCGGTGCGACGTATTAACCGCCACGAAGATGTCACTGACTGTGGAATGACGCTGTCAACCTGTCCAGCCCATCAAGGATGCCCCTTCAGACCATTTGTATAAGACCCACATGATAATGTCGACGACGGGCTGGGATCGGTCATCCAATCCTTCTGGTCGTCACTAGAGTAAGAGTTGGCACTTCAATTACGCGTTTTCCGGGGATTGTGCCCCTCCTCTCCCGCATGCTAATAAAACCAGTGACAGGGTTTATTTGGCAAGAAACATTTAACAACGAAGGAGGGTCGTTCGTATTTCTTTCCTGCAACTTGTAACGGCAGCGCTAGCGATTTTGAGGTCCCTTCTTGGTGCACTTTTGCCATTATCTGGCTTGGAAAGGTATGCGGTGTTGGGTCTGGGCTGGGGAAACAGCTTGTTGATATTCATAGCACTGAATCTAGTTCCGATTTTGGTTGCCTTCTACGCCTTTGGGGGGCGGGTTCGCGGCAGATTCAACAGCGGCAGATTTAACACCAAACTGTCACTTACCTTACTTCCTGTCGCTTTAGGCAACCCGGAGCTTTTAGTACTGGGAGTTCATTATGCGCAGAGTCACATGCTGTCATTGCTTTGTAATTTATGCCCGATGTCCAAAGCACATGGGTCAGCTCAATTGTCAAGCTCGTGTTCGCGTGTGAAGTCTACCTCATCTACATAATAAATGCATCGTTGGCGTATACCATTTTCTTAATTAAAAGCTTTTCTCTGTCTAGAATCATCTCCAAAGGTCTAAGTCTTCCGGCCACGAGAGCCACGGTTGCCATGCTTGTCCTAAATAGCTACTAATTGAACGAAGGAGGTACGGTCCAGCGTTCCCGATCTGCCAAAAGTTCCGCCCGAAATGCAGAAAGATGGCATAACGAGCCAACACAACCAAAGCCTCTGGAGTCTGTCGTTCCAGCAAACGAACCCAACGATCTGGGAGCATAATTGACCAAGTTAACATCATCCGCCGACCATAATCAACCCTAAGTGGATTTTTCAGATCATCAATACCAGTATCCACAAGGCGAAGCGCCATCTCGCACGCAGACTTGTCCTCTTCTTCCAAGTTAGGCGAGTGTGCTACGAGAGATTGCAGCGCCTGGTCTGGCTGTATGGTCTTGTCGTACATATCTGCAGCGAGCCCCCTGGTCATCAATGGCCCAAGTTCAGTATCCAAAAGAGAGACGGAATCTTTCAACGGCGCATTTCTCAAGAGTCTAGAATTCGAGGGCAACTTCTGAGACACGCCGTCTCTTGGGACAACTTTCTTTGGATCTTGTACGGCGTCAGCGTACTCGTCCTTGTCCGTTCGCTATTTCGTGTCATTGAGTATATCCAAGTTTATGATGGATAGTGAGTTTCTTTTAGCTCGAACTTGTAATCGTCGATTACTGACCATGTCCTAGTTTGCAAACAACCGAGGTGTTTCTCTACATCTTTGATGCTACTCTCATCTTCCTGGTCACATTCATCCTAGCCGCGTTTCACCCTAGCATGGTCATGACCGTGGACGACGACGGCAACATTGTCTCCCCAAACGGGACACATGAACTGAGAAGCTTTGTGTCGTTGGGAACTTACAGCGCCCACGACCTGAGCGTCAGCCTGGCCCCGAAGGACAATACCACAGGAGGATATGAGCACTGACTTGCGACATGATTCTGCTGTTCTTGAGGATAAGGCCTCACGGGTTTCAACAGCCGGGAGGTGGTCTTGCCTTTTCTGAACCCTAATGACTGTGGCTATCCGCCCATAAAACGGGGACGGAGAGAAGAACGGTGACGGACAAGGACGAACGGGGACGACAACAAGGACGGCAAAAGAGGCAACGGCAAGGATAAAAATAACTAAACTAGTGGGGAGTAATAATTTAATTACGTACACGACCCGGATAGCGAAGCTCATGTACTGTTTGTTCCTACTGTACATTCATAATGGGGTTCACATACACTGAGCCCAAAGTCTCAAGTCTCATTACAATTCGTAGATTCGCTCACTTCATAATCTCTGCTATGCGAGCTAGCACTTCTACCGTGGTTGAAGACAAAGCATCACGTTAACCCCACCCCACTTCTCTGTGATCTCTATCGGATTTGTCGTCGCTATGCTTGCTCAAGGGATGGGAATGAAGCCCATGTCCGTCCACGAACTACCATCAAAGTGGACATGTTTCAACTTGCGTCCGGATTGAAAGAAGCAATGGCTCATATCGTGGGCCGCCTCCAACGGGACCTCGGGAATTGTGGATGATGCAGCCGTGACGCATGCGAGGTGGGTTGGGCTATCAGCTCCTTCAAATACCGGATCCGTCTCTGGGCCTTTCCACCCCTCAGAGTCGTTCTCATATACGTATGAGATCTTTCCAGTCTTGGAGTCCTGATATAAGATCCACGTGTTGACGGCCGTTGACTTCTGCCCCCCTACGTCACCCCTCGCGACTGCGAAGGCAGCCATTGTAAAGTTTGAGTCGACTGTCACGGGAATCTCGCCCGAAGAGGTGAGAGACTGACCGCCTGAGGATCGGTCAAAGTTCTTGAGGCGTCCGGTAGTATCGCGGTAGATGATACGCGCACTAGACGCTGCGGTCTGATCGCCAGCGGAGTGGGTAGTTTCTCGGGGCAAAATGGCCAGCGCTGAGCCGGGGGAAGCCGTGATACCGACTCTCTTGGGCTCTTGAAACCCCGGCGACTTATAGTTGAAAAAGACTTCCATAACATCCCCATTGGAAGCCTGAAGAATGGTTGAGGGCCAGTAAGCAGCCATCTGGGTGCCAGTGTTGCCAACTGTCCACCCTCCCTGGTTAACGCTGTCGCTCAGGCCTCCACGTGTGAACCCTTCTCGCCAGTTCACGCCCAATATCTTTTCCCCTGATCCAATGTAAAACAGCTCGGCTTGGGGGATGACCGGAAGTGGCTTCGGTAGTTAGCGCCTATAACTTGGGGTGACGTGAGGAGGCACATACTTCATCTGGCTTCGTCCAGAACTGACTAGCCCCAAAGGGCGAGCCCACCTTGGGAGCTGCGTCGACCTCCAATGGTGCAGTCCAGTTTTGGTAGATGCTCATGTACTGCAACCGTCTCAACAAAGAGTCCGGTCCCTGAAACCAGACTTGCAGGGTTATGTCAGTCCCATAACGATAACCAACAGCTGCGAGCCCTGAATTCGGTACTATCTTGGTTGCGCTCGTCGATGGCGTGCTGCCGTCAGAGCCCGGGACAGTTGGCGCTGGCTCTTGGTTCTGGTTGGATGTGATCTTCCAGCCTGCTATACCGCCTACAACACCTGCAAGAACGAACGTCAACACTCCGCCGAGTACGATGAGCAGCCAAGGCCTTCTGCGCTTTGCCTTGTCTTGAGGTGTGTTTCCTGCTTCGTTCTGGTAGTATGCGCCCGTATGTCCGTTGTTGTGTCCCGTTGATTCGTACCCATGACCCGCTAGTATCTTCTGCTCGTGAGATGTGTCGTTACTTGGAGCCGAACCGTTCTGTGATGGTGATGTCCAGTGATGGGCCTCGAGAGTTACTGGAGTGGTGTCGTAGTGTGACGTGACCTCGAGTCCAGGTTGGGCAGACCGTCGTGGTTGATCCATGGCAAACCCTGCTAACTATGTGACGGGTGGGAATGGGCAAGAAACCAGAGTCCGAAAGACCGTAAGTGACATCGACAAACTTGAAGTCAGAAATTTACCTTTCGATCCCCCGGGGGGAAGAGACGAAGAGGTCTCCATAAGTATCGGCTAGATCTCTCCGGCTCCCACTCGCTAGGTTGACTATGAAGCACCACATCGTCTGGCTTAATTGATGCATGGTCGGGCAAGGAGACATCGCATGTCTTGGCAATCCAGCATGAAGATCCTTTTTACTCTTGCAAAACGATCAAATCCCTACAAATCCCGCCGAGACGGCAACGGCGACAGGGGGTAAACAACCCTTCTCGTTGCTTAAGACCAAGGAAATTGGTAACTGTGCCGCAGGAACACGGTATTTAAGAACGTGGGGTCCATAAAGCCCTTGCAACGGGCGCTAGATCAGGCTAGGTGTATCCATAGTTTAATTAAAGCTTGTTTGCGCCCACCAGTCGTGAGTCTCGGCGCTAATGATGTCGACTCCAGTGTATTGGTAAGACGTGAGGTTATGGCAAGGCTCCCGGGGTATGAGACAAGACACGTTACTTGGTACATGACTACTCAGGGGGCGACAGTGGTACTTGGCCTTCGAGAATGTACTGCGTACAAGAACGTTCAATATGAAGAGAAGGCTGAATTCAGGAGACGCAGCCGCCATAAACCTTGGCTGCGTGTGCACTGCCAAATGACACGTTGAGAGACCAAAGTCCCTAACCTCTAGTTCGCCTACTGTCTGTCAGCATTTAGGCGTGATGGCACCAGTGATGAACCCCTGCACTGCCCAATTGCAGGCAGCAAGACGGCAACCTGGCGCACAGGGGATCTTCAGCTCTTTCCTTGGCGCGCAAATAAGCGGCCGCCCGGCTGCCTTTCTGCCTGTTCTGTCGGTGTATGGCTTTTCCCCGTACATCCTGGTATTTTCAAGTTCCAAATTCTCTCACGAGTTTTACCGCCCGGAAGGAGACCGGACGGAGAGTTGCATGGACGACTTGGAAAACAAAGACAACAGAGTTGGCGGAGAAGAGAAGAATGATAATAAACATGATGATTCAACTTGTTTAGCGGTGCGCTCTTGGCATAGTGTCTCTTCATGGCCAGCGCAGTAAATGCGAGCACGCATAGGTATGCGAAGAAGAATGGTCTTTCATCCTTTTGCGTCAGTCTTTGATGGTTGCGTCCGCCGAGGCAGACTTGCAGGCAGCAGGCCTAGCCCCTAAGCATCCATGGCTTAGCCCTCGCGTTAGCCACAGTGAATAGTAGTCACATGGAGGGTAGGACACTGCTGACGGCATGAGACAGGAATGATCCGCGTCTCTATCGCCACCAAAGCTAGACAACTCGATTTTATTTCAACTGCAGTAGTTCCGTGATCTGAAAAAACTTATGCGAATGCGCTATTACATCATCTCACACCGTTCGCGGGGTTTTAGGCATCATGATTCTCTGCAGCCTCTGTCAGTCTCTTCCATTGGAAGACCTGCCCCCCTTTCCTGACGACAAGACCACGAGAACTCTAAGTGGGAAACAGAGATTCCAGCACATTATCTTGGACGATCATGAGAAAGGGAAACCTATTCCATGTATGGGTGTTCCGTACCATCCCGATCTTGCTTCGCTCCGTCAAGCATCAATCAACGGATGCGTTCTATGTCAAGCAATTGAGAAGGAGGTCGATGCGCTGTTGGAGGAGATTAAGATACTAGAACATCCAAACCTGGGTACATACAAGTGGGTTCCTGACTGGAACATGTGGTTGACTCAACGTGGCGAATCTGGCGGCGATGGGTTCTGGGTTGTTTGCAGCAGCGTTGAAGACGAGGGTCGATATTGCTTGATGCCCGTCGCATCGATCGGCTTTGCTTCTGATGAAGGTGGGTGTCTGGATTCCCAGGACGCTCTGGTCGCGTCTTGTGACTGACAGAAACAACTGATAGATGATCCTCTCTCTATCGGCTCTAGCGACCGCGTTTTGAAAGAGGTTCCGAACCAAACCACATTGAACCTCATTCTGAAGTGGCTCAAAGCCTGCGATGAGCACCCGCACTGCAAAGCGCAGCACGCTCCAATGCCAACTCGCCTGTTGGACGTCGGCACATCAGACTCTGGGTCAATCATCAAACTCGTTCAGCCGGACCCTGACCTCTGTGATCGCTATGTCACCCTCAGTTACTGTTGGGGAAAGGGGGAGAAACACTTTGTTACTACCAGTGAGACCATTCAGGCTCGAAGAGACGGTATTGATATCGATCAACTTCCGCAAACTCTTCGAGACGCTGTAACACTGACTCGGATGGTCGGAGTAAAATACCTTTGGATCGACAGCCTGTGTATCTGTCAGGATGACCTGAAGGACTGGGAACGAGAGTCGGCGCAAATGGCTGCCGTGTACTCGAACGCGTATCTCACGCTTGCCGCTGTAAAGTCTGGCGATACCAATGGAGGTTTACTGTCAGCTCGAACCCCTCAAACATACTTCAAACTTCCACGAAAGAGTTCTTCTCCAGACGAGTACATCTTGGCAACGGCCTTGACCCTCGATCACGATACCATTCACCAATTTCACATGCGTATGAAAAAGGAGCCTCTCACGAAGAGAGCATGGGGCTTCCAGGAACGTGTCCTCGCTCGCCGAATTCTGCACTTCTCAAGCCAGCAGATGTACTGGGAATGTCTCGAAGGGTTTGAAGCAGAGCAAGGGCTGAAGCTGAATTACCGCATACCTTTCATCAACGATGACACTCAGCTGGTGGAGTATGTTGACCAGCGTCGCAACAACGCCCATCCCGCAAAGCCTAAGTGGGAAGGACTCGACCACTCCTCCACCCTGACGAGAAACTGGCACGAACTCCTCTGGGAGTACGGCCCACGAGAGTTGACAAATCCTTTGGATAAGCTTCCGGCATTCTCTGGCATTGCCAAGTCCTTGAGCAAAACCTTCAACGATGAATACTTGGCTGGTCTTTGGCGTGGGTCCTTGATCGAATGCCTATGCTGGCAGGCTCTGCGCTGTAAACCTATTGAGCAATACCGTGCGCCCTCATGGTCCTGGGCTTCAGTCGACGGAATACCGGCGACCGGCTTACTTGGCGCGACGGAAGATGTGGCGAAAATTCTCGAAGCCAAGGTTGAAATTGACGGGGACAACCCCTTTGGTCGCGTGAAAGACGGCTGGATAAAGCTCGAGGCCCCTCTGGTTAAAATGTCGCTCTCCGAGGCGAAGGGGCCCACAGGCCACATGCTTTTCCGAAGCGAGAAGGGAGGCGCTGACTGCTTCGGCATGCTGGATACCATCCACCGAAGCTTTGAGGCCAGTGCAGAGCTTATTCAGTCGATGGAAGTGTACGCGTTGATATTGGCCTACACATATGGCGGACCAGGAACTCCGGACCCCGAGCGGAAGAACCCCTGCGCTCACGGGATCTATGTCACTCCTGCAATGGACCGGCCAGGCTGTATGAGAAGAATTGGCGCAGTTGTTCAGGACGTAAAGGAGTTTGGTGCTGATGAGCTTGTATCCTCTAGAGCTACTGTAACATTAGTTTGAGCCAGTGTGCGAAGGTACCTTCTAGCTAAATATTGTCCTTTCCATCGACACCGCCTATTTTCCCTGTGCTAGAGCGACTACTTTTCCTGTGTGCTCGTCATCGTTATCGTCGTTATTATCGTTGTCGCCGTCGTAGTCTTTCTCTCGTCGTCCTTCTCATAAAAGTTACCAGTAGGCGTGTGGGAAATGTAGCAGCCCAGACATAGGAAAGTTAGGTGGTCTCTTCCTAATCAGGGAGAGGAAAAATGGATGTTAATAAAGACAGTCTAATCTAACGACCATTTCATTCCTCAAAAGAGCAAAATGCCTAGCCAAGAAATGGTATTGTTCCGGTGACTGGCAGGCAGATTCGGGTACGTTATCCGTGTCGTTAGCCGGGCGAACTTCAGACCTGTCAGCTGTGCCGTCAGAGCCGGTCGAAATTGCGGTATTGATAAGACTAGACTGTTCTAGCAATAATACTTGATTAAAAAAACCTTTTACTTTTTACAGTTCTCTCACCGCCGGGTCTTTTTAATTCGGAGGCTGCCATTTTGAAAAGCTGCTTCGAGTGCTCACGTTACACAGGCGTTGGCTCCATCGGTGACGACCACAACACAGCCCGCTCGGCAACTTCATTTACCGACTCAAACACAAACTATCCTCAAGCCTGCTGACGCCAAGGTAGACTTGTTTGAAAAGGCGAGAATTCCCCCAAGACAATGTTCAGGTATCTTGAATGCTCCACAACCCAATATCTAAGGCTCTCTTGCAGCCAGTCACCCACCGCCAGTATCATCCCCGGTATGCACTGGTCATGCCAGATCGCCGAGCTATCTAGCACAGCCACGCCGGTACGGCACCGAGCCGGGAGCTGTTGCGGGGCCAAGTTGGTTCCAAGATGATATTAATACAGACTACCAATCTTTACTTCGTTGACGACATGGCACAGTACAAAGCTCGACAATCAAAGATAGCTGCTTGACCTGTACACGACACCTCAATCCTGAGGGGGTTCTACGGGATCCAACTTGCCCAGTCGCCTCTTCCGGATCACGACAAGACGACCTACACCGCCATGCTAGGTGTCGCTGCCACGAAAGTCACTAGTCACGATCAAAGCACGGTCACTTCATTTCATATCCGGCTGATGAGTCGCACCGCTGATTTCAGAAGAGAGTCACGAGCTCCAGGTCGGAAGAGAAACATTCTTCATTGAAGTCTTCCGCTACATCGCAAAAGAGTGTTTGGGGGTATTTCGTCTCCATACTTCGTCTCATTACAATCACCAAATTACGCCAATTCCACCACGCTCCTTCTGGTCTTCAAATTCTTTTTCATCACATCATACATGCGCTGAAAACACACGAAAAGCACAACCGCGACGGCCAGGCCGCGAGATTCGCAAGCGACGGGGTCCCTTAGTGGAAGTCGCCGATGCGAGGGCCGAAGTACTCGCCGTCCGCGAGGGTCTTGAGACGGCAGGCCAGGCCTTCGCAGCCTTCTGACACGACGCTGTTGCCCCACCAATCAACCTCAATGTCTTGCCACTGAAGGCCGAAGAACATGATGATGCCAGAGATGGCAATACCGCAAGAGAAGGCAGCGGAGAGGACGAAGTTGTACTGCGAAGATGGTCAGTGACTGCAAACGTAATAGTTGAGAGGGGGGAAGGAAACTTACCTTGGACCAGAAGCCAAGGAAGCGGCTCTTCAGGTAAACCCAAGAGAAGTAGGCAATGGGGACGGAGGGCCAGACAAAGGACATGTTGTAGGGAGCCCAAACGAGAGCACCGTACATCATGGCGACGGGGTGAATCTGGCGGATCCACTTCCAGCGGGGGAAGGCCTTGCCGAGACCCCAGAAGATGAGGACGACGGCGACACCGAGAGGGAAACCGAGGAGGGTCTCGGTGTACTGTCCACCGGCACCCCAAATCTTCTTGGGACCGACAGTACCCCAAAGGACAGAGGCGGTGAAGAAGGTGTTGATGCCGGGGCAGGTCATCTTGAACTTGGCATCGGCAGTGCAGATTCCCGGGATGCTAGTCATCTGGAACTTCAAGACGCCGAGACACACGAGGGTAGACACGAGCGTCGCGACCATCTGAGCCCAGAAAGTATGACGAGGGGGAATCTTCACGTAGTGCGCAAGCTTAAGATCGTTGGAGAACCAAACGGCGTGGGCGCAGGTGACGTAGCCGAAGGACTTGAAGTAGTTCATGGCCAGGGCGTTACCCTCGACCCAGGAACCACCGATGAACTCGGCAAGCACATTGAGGGTGACCTCGATACCGGTCATGGCCTTGATGATACCGACAGGGACGACGAAAATCAGGCAGAGTATGATACCGTAGAAGACGACGCCGACGGTAGTGTACGTGGGCCAGGCGGCAATACCGGCGCAGCCAAGAGCAATGGCGACGACGAGGGTGAGGAGGTACCACCACTCAGGGACCTCGGGATAGACCTTCATGAGACGGTTGTGGACGTCGAGGACCTGGTCCTTCTCGATGTCACTGTTCTTGCGGAAGCTGCCGATCAGAGCCTTGAAGCCAAGGGCGATCTCATGTCGGTGGTAGAGGATAGCGTAGGTGATGGTGGCGGTGTAGATGGCGAAGAAGAACATGTAGATCATGGTGTTGGCGGCGCCCAGGAACGGGGGAGAGTAGGCCTCGTAGGCCTCCTTGTCGAAGAGGCCGTGCTCGTTGACAGCGCGCGACACGTTATACAGCTTGCCGAAGTGGTCGTAGACCTTGTTGGAGTTGATGGGAAGGTATCCGGTGTTGTATGTGTTAGTGTACCAGACGGCGATGATGACGAAGCCTGAGATGAGAGTTCCGAGGAACTTGTTGAAGGTCGAAAAGAAGGGAACCATCAGGGGGTCAGTGTTGTCGAAAAGACTACGCCCGTTAGTAAGTGTACTCATGATTCAAACTCAGTGTCAGTACTCACAGGATGTTCCAGTCGAAAGTGGGCCAGGGGTTGAATCCAAGACCGCTGTTGAAGCCGGTGATGGTGGCCAGGTTGCGGTTGTTGGGCGCGATCCAAGTCATCCAGCTGAAGGTGCTGAGAGCCGTGAAGATGTAGTTGGGGAACCAGAACCACACAAACATGGCAGCGAAAGCGATGTAGAAGAACTTCTGTCTGCTAAGGTTCCAGACACTGCGGAAAGGACCGTCGACGGTGCTGTTCTTGTCGCTGTGGAAGGCGGCGTTCAGGGCGATGGTCACCAGAGACGCGGGCCAGACACAGTACGAAGGGTACACGAGGAAACGACGGCAGAGACCGGCCAGACCGTAGCCGATGAAGTTGGTCGACAGCGAGATGAGGAGCTGGTAACCGAAGTTGGCGGCATACGGCATGTTGAAGAATTGGGGGAGCCACTGGAGAGTGCTGTTAGTTGGGGTTCATCGTCTAAGGTGCAAAGTTGCGCCTGGTAGAAGCCTACCTGAGTCCAGATGATGTAGTTGGTGTACGGGATGTTGTACGCAACGTTGGCCATGATCGTGATGAGCATGTGCTCCTTGCGGTTGAACGGGCCAGGGTTGAGCGAGATGCGGGAGCCAAAGACAGTGAAGCCGACGTCAGGAAGAGCCTTCTCCCACAACTTGCCCAAGGGGTAAGCGAGCAGCTGGGCAACGTTGGCCAAAATCGTGATAGACGGGTAGCGGACGGAGAAGAGCTGGTTCACGAAGGCGAGCAGGGCGGAGAAGAGCAGACCGATAACCCACGCACGAATAGTCGACGAGGGCATGGTGGGGTCGTCGTGGTTGTCGACGACGGCGCGCACCTCAGAGTAGGGCGAGTTGCCCGTGATGAGGGCGGCCTCAAGCTTCATTTCCTGGATCAGAGTCTCGTGTTTCTCGGGGTTCTCGAAGACGTCATCGTTCTGGAGGAAGGCCTCAATCTTCTCGATAATGACGAGCGGGAAGTTGGGGTCCTTCTCGTGGATCTTGTGGACGTTGAACATCATCTCGCGAACCTCCTCGAGGGACATCTGCGAAGCGAGCTCCTTGGCCTCAAGGAGATCGTCCTCGGTGACGTTGAGCTCCTTCTCGACGTGCTCGTTGTAGTCGGTGCCCTCAGGATGAGCGTCGACGAACTAGGTCAAGCGATTTAGTCCACCGCTATGTCAAGTTGAGGCTGAAGTGAGGCTCATAGAAGACGATGTACTTACAGGCTCGGCCTTCTCATTGGAGATCACGCCGCCCTGGGCGGCGGGCCGTTGTTCACGGATTTCGGACATGGTTGCGCTGGTTCAGAACTCTTCACCTTGAGTAAGGTACGGAGGGGCTGATCTGCAGGACCCGTTGACGTTTGGGCTGGATATGTGCCAGTGACCGAGGAACGAGAAGAAACGGGGAAAGAGGGGATGAGGACATCATGACCTTTTAATATCCAGTGCCACGAGGCTACCGGTCCAAGCTCGCCATCCATATGCTTATCGACGGGTGGGACCCGGGGGTTCCAACCGCCTGGCAACGAACGGGCAGGACGATGGTGACAGTCGGTGTTGCCACATAAGACGATCCTCAGGAAAGGACCCTTGCTCCCCATGATGGGACTTGATGCTGCGACGGCATAGGCTGGGATGGACAGAGCTTCCTCTTCAGAAGGCAGGGGTGATGTGGCATGGGTGATCATGTTCAGGGCTGGACTTCCAGCCGCCCCCCTCGTCTGGACGTGCAGCCGGAGGGTGCAGTGCAACCCTGGCGGCAGACATCTCTACCTTCTGCATTCGACATGGCCGATATCAAAGGTTCCCAGGCGTTGGAGGAGGGATCGATGTGCGTCTTTACTTTGCCCGCATTGGGTGGCTTGCCCAGCCGAGCGTGAGAGAGGGAGGATGAGAGACATGATGACGAAGAGCAGAATGAAGAAGAAGGAACGTGAAAAGGATCGAGGCAAGATGCCCCAGCCAGTTCAGTACAGAACATGTACATGAGCTTTCCATGAACAAACATGGACGGCAAGATGCCTATCTACGGCCCTCTTGTGGTTCATCCTCACTTCTTTTCTTGGATTGGGGGGACGGACGGAAACGAATGCCACCTCCACCTCCCGGCTACCCACCGGGATCAGTCCCAGTCACTGCGAACCTGCAGACGGGGCATCAAGTCCAACGCAGAGAGATCCCTGGTGCATTGCATGGGTGACACGGAACCTTTTCTCAAGACGCAAGAGCTTCCGCCATTGTCGCCGTTGGCATCTTTCGAGCCTGAGATGGCGCATATCTCTTTCCTTAGATTCGCGGGTCTCCGCCGGCCTTCAGTCATCCCGTGCAGTTGGGACCTCGGACGACCTTGATCTGGTAAGGCAAAGTTAGACAGCTCTCGGCCGAGGAACTTTTGAGAGCAACTACTGTGCGACGAGTACAGGCAACCTATCCTCCCAACCAAGCCAGGCCAGGCCGTTGGTTCTCAGGGCTGGACGCAGCTCAAGTCGCAATCGCGATGGCTTCATCGTGGTGCGACGTTTCCGCCCACAGACATAGTGCAGCCCTGTCTCATTCAGTGTCGATCGGGCTGAAGGCAGGTTGTCGGTCGGCGAACCAACTCTTCTATTCGTATATCCTGCCTTCTCATCAACCGGCATGAGGATGATTTGCTGCTACGGCTCCCACACCTTCTGCAATCTCCCCCGGCAAAAGCAGTGGCGGGGGGGATGCTGGTGGCAAGGTGGCTATCCGTCGCTGCGTGCCATCTGTGCCCATCTCGGGGTCTCTTTCGGCACTGACCGTAACGGCGCTGCTTGTGTGCGTTGTGTAGCGCGTGGGCTTGCGGGTGCACGCAGTATCGTTATGTACACTCAACGCCCTGCGTCTGCCAAGTCGTACCTCTTGTGGGACTGACGCGGTGATCGATCAGTGTGAGGGAACCTCCGCGGAAGAAGTGAACGTCGTCTTGAAGTCCGTTTCTTTCTGCGAGTGAAGTCCCAGCTTGGGGGCCAGCAGGGAGCGCGCGATAAGATGGGGGGATGGTGAGGTGAACCCTTGTCGGGGTCGTGGAGCGGACTGGGAGGGCGCCCGGGCACGGTGCTCTGAGCCCTTGAACGCATTCCTCAGACCCTAATCGTTGAAGATCTGCGAGTCTTATTCGCTGTGCCGCTTCGCTTCTACAAGTACAACATGAAGAGACTTGACTAGACCGAAAAGCTCTGGTTCGGCTCTCGACACACCACGTTACAATGCAACATTCTAGACATCGTGGATGCCGAGAGACATGCCCGGGAGGCACCGTCAGGCTGGCATCGAAGAAGCATAGAAGGATGCTGGAAAACGGTTGTTCATCCTCTTGGTGTGGTGGCTGGACGCAACGCATGGCTGTGTGCCCTAACAACGAATCAAACGTCGGCATCTGTTTTCCGTCTTCAGGGTTGTGCACTAGTCGACGGCATAGGCGACTAACATCTTGGCAAATTTGGCCAGAATACCAAGACGGACATGATCAAAGATGGGCGTTGAACCCGCTGGACCCTGCGAGGGTGAAGGAGTGGCGCCGTCCCCGAAGCCTCCCAAGCCTCCCAAGCCTCCAAGACCGACCAAGACTCACAAGCTTTCCAAGGCGATTTCCAAGAGCTCCAAGACCATCGCGATATGCTTCCAAGACGCCCAAGACTTGCCATCCGCGCAGTGTCAAGAGATCTTGCCCGAAAAAAGCTTGTCCGCCATGTGTTCTCACTGCACACCATCGCCGCCTCACCAGGCCTGAGATGAACAGCTGAAAAGTCGAGTCGTTACGTTCGTGGGACGGGAAGCACGTTCATCCAGAGACAACGGCCATCCCCGGTTGTCTTTCCCATCCCCTCTCGCAAGCACCAGCTCCGTCTCCCCGTCTCTTATCGGCCAGACGTCCGGGAATTTGCATGCCCCATTGGCCATTCACATGCGTCAGGCCTCCTCTGGTGGTATCATCCGGCCAGACAGAAGGTGGCAAGTTGATTAACCTGTGTTCGTCTGCCGCAGGAGAGTTCTTTGGGAGGAACTTTTTGACGGTCGGCGAGGGGCCACCAATGTCGACCCTGGCGAGCCCCCTCACGAGCTCCTAGTATCGGCAGCTTATTAGATGGGTCGACGACGCGTCCTATCAATCGCCCCGGCTGATTTTCTGCCCCGACATTGGCTGGATTTTCTCATTGCTTTGGCCAGAATGCTACTCTTCCAAACCAAGCACCTCGGTTTCCCCCACGCTAACAACACTCACTGAAGCCTCCTCTCCTCACCAAAGGACAATCATGTTCATCAAGCAACGCGGGTTTCGTGTTCTTCACGCAGAATTACCTTCAAGTCAGTTATGCACTAACAGGGAGAAGAAAAGGTGTTCATTTTCATGTTCACAATATAATGTGTACCAGCCATTCGCAACGAGTTCCCTGCGACAGCTGGCCAGTCGTACGAGCAGACTTTCGCTTCGTCTAAACCAGACCGGGACTGGTTTCTTCTCCAGATTTCTTCTTCGGGCAGGTCGATTCCCTCCCCAACACCAACTGGAGGCGCGCGTCCCTCAATCTTATCCCCTCCCCGGTCCTTCAGCGCATGGCGTAATCTCCTCCGCCATTATCGCAACTGCAATAGCGCGCGTGATCGTTATCTCTCCGGGGCAATTTGTTCGACAAAGTGCTTAAAGTCAAGCTCATCCGCCAAGACCTTTCCCTCGCGCCAAGCTATCGTCAGGAACGTTTGTGCGGCGCGACTCAATCGATGGCATCAGTAGGGCGCTCGTGGTGCAGCCGCCGTGCCGCAGGTTTGGCCGTGAAAGGCAGGCTCGTAACCATGGATCCCCTCACTCGACACTCTTCTGCTGTCCCGAACACCGAACCAACTGGTAGGAACCTTCAGTCATGTGGCTATTCCGGCCAAAGGAAGCTTCCGTATTCGAACCGACTCACCGCGGTGGCGCGCTTGGCAGCGAGACATACTGACTCGCCCGGGGCACACGTCCAGCACTTCTACGGCTCTGTAGAAGGATGCCTTTTTCATTCGGACCTCGTGATGGGAATCCCCTACAGTATCTCAATTCTGCTGGATTCAAAGTATCACCAAAGACTCTATTGCAGCCGTAGTCGAGACCCTAGTCGCACAAATCGTTACAGACGCCGCCTCGGTTCGCGGCTTCTAGGTCCTGACTTGGCGATGCCAATGCTCCGTCTGGGCACATGTTGCCGTCTTGGAAGTCTTGGTAGTCTGTCTTTTCAGAGAACTCTCAGCTCGCCAGCTGAGCCCACCATGTCTCTCAAGTGCCTCTGAGCAGAATTGCTATCGCAGTTTAAATTATTGGTCGGGGACTCCCCCCTCACTATCCCTGACTGATAATGATTCTTGGCATGCATTGACAGGCTGTTGGAAGTCTGGAGTGCACCCGACCGCTTGGCATCGGTTGCATGGCTGGAATCGGCCATCGTACCGGGTCGTCAGTTTGCGGAAGGTCCTTGAGAGACTGATGGAGCGAGTGCGAGACTGTTGTTGGTTGACTGCCTCCCTCCACGATTTCATTGCTATTTCCAGATCTTCGGGTAGTATCGTGAACTTGCAAGCTGAGAGGGGATTCTGCATGAGGAATTCGAACCGGCGATAGCCTATCGGGTGCCCTCCAATCTGCTTGAAGGTCTCGATCAGCTGTATGGGTTCATTCAGACCCCCGTTTCTCCAAACCGGGCGCGTTGCCACCAGGTGGAATGGCGTCAGGATCACCATGTAAGTCAACAGGGTGCAGACTCGATGTGCCTCGCTTAGATCATGGCCAGAACCTCGGAGACAGCGAACAGACGCCATGCTGATCTGCTCCTCGGAGATGTGAACTGCTTGTTGATCCCGCTGTTAAGGCTGAGAGCATCCCCCCAGCCATCATGACCTGCGTAATCATCTCATACGGACTCTGGTCAAGAGCCATGAAGGCGAATCAAAAACTCGCCATGCCTGCCATCTAGGAGGGGGGCTTGGTCGAGAGCTATCAGGCTGGTGTAGTGATGCCGTAGCATGCAATCGCCAACGGCTCTGCTATTCGAGACTTCTCGACTCATCCTCCAAGTGAGATAGATCAGGGACTTTTGACGCCGCCAAGGAAGAACTTTCGAAGGACTTTCGTCAAACTCGCAGGTAAAGAGGAGAACATACATGAAATGGTTTGAGAGAAGAACCCATTCTATTACAGTAACGAAGCTAGCCACGAAGTGCCAAAGACATGACCGAACATAAGACAATCGTCTATTTGCGCCCTTGCCCAATCCGCGGCCATCGTCCAACATAGGCATCGCCCCGATACGATCAATCAACGCCCAAACGCCATGTATGCCACCCAACTGCAGCAACCCAAAGAGCGATCCAGACTGGCGGGTTAAAAGTTCCCTGGACATCGCCCGGTTCTTATCTCGAGTCTTCCTGCATGGACCGAAGGATCGAACGGACCCCGGCAAACTCGAGTTCTTCCATAGTCTCCTCCCAAAGGCGCTCAGTGGCAGCTTTTCCCTTCGGTTCGTATAGCATGGAGGCAAACCTTGACGGTCATGTTAGCTAAGCCCTTACTAATTTGGATGGAAAACTTACGGACAGATCTCCCAGTCCATGAGAAAGCTGCCATGTGTCTCTTCCCCTCTCACCACAGCGGCATTGACATAGGTCGATGCAGCTTGCTCGAGTGATCTTCCGG